TACTTTATAAAATAAAAATATTTCAAATTTCGCAAAATTAAAATTTTCCAAGAGATTCCAAATTTTGTGCAACACAAAAAACAATTTCTCCTAATTCTTCCAAACACGAACAATCTCGCGATTTCAATCACAACAGATACCTATATACCTCGATAAAATACGATATCCATATTTTCAACGAAAATACCATTATTTCCATAAACACAACTAAACAACGAATTCTCGTATACACGCAATTATTAAAAGGTTGTAAAATGATAAATTAATTTTTCTAATATTTACGTCCATTTACCACAACACACCGTTCCTCTTTTCCTCCTCATGAATATCAAGCATCTATAACACTCTCCACCGACGAAATTATCAAGCTGCATAGAAATTCCTCTCGTTATATTTCTCGTCATAAATCCAACGCGTAGTTCTGTCGTTTTCGTCACGACGCCTTTTGTATAATCACTGTTTAATATTCTCGACAATGAGTTGCGCTACTTCCAATGCACCTAGGATATGACGATCGGATCTACGTGCACGCGCGAGACTCTACCATTGTGCAGGGGTAAATGTAAGTTTACGAAACAACCAGAGGAATAACATGGGAAGTGCTTTATGCGTTGCATTCCTATCGCTTTGCTCATTGGGGGGACACATTTATCGCGACGATTCATGTTCTTAAAACACACATTCTTCACACCTTATCGACTTTGTTACAAGGTGCGGCTTACTTTAAGAGATAATGTCCCCTTTGGTATGGGGACACCTTAATTTTCGAAATGTATGAAGAATTAACCAGAGAACTGGTGATTATAGACAATACGACCTATATCTACCTGTTGTAAAATATTCAAAGTAATTGAAGAATTTGCATATTCATTATTGAATTACAGATTCGAAGAAAGTTATACGAGTATAATTGCTACGTAGACTAGAAAAGCTATGTTGTTCTCCTTAAGTAAAATTTTCTATCTAACAATTTTTCATATTTTAGGGTATTTTCCAATATTTTCGAGATTCACATGTTTTTCATTGAGCAAAGTTAGAACGTGCTAACAATAAGTGGGTCTTGTGTAGGACTTTAGAAATAGTATAATTTATCAGTCCTAACTGTTTTACAGGTAAATTAGAAACTTACAATTACAGATGGTTAATTTACAAAATTTCATTTTTCTTAGATGTTCGAAAATGTTAGTTAGCATAATTAAGCTAAGTAGAGCAGTACGATGCATAAAGTGCACAATTTATCAATAGTATGTCCATTCAGGTATCTAAGATTGTTAATAATTTTCATTGATAACTTTTAACAGTGTAATATTTTCATCTATAAGCGTGCATTAGATCAGTCCATCGTATTATATCTGATCACAGTACATAATTGAACTTTTTCATTTTGCTAACTTGACTTCTTATCAAGCTTCTACGTATTCAAATTACCTTTGCGCTCTTGACACGCTTCTTTCGGCATTTGCGTTAAGGACCACAGTTTTTCGAGGTAAAATTCTCGAGTCCTTGGGTGTCGAAGTGTATGTAGGATTTGGGAGAGTCTCATCTTCCAACCAAACGGCGCCAATCCTTGGATGCATACCGTGTCGTCGATCTTTCACTCGTTTCCTTCTTCTTCGACGCCTCGGTGTTTCATTCTCGTAGAACTCTGAGCAATTGGACCGCTCCGAATCGGAGAAACCGGAATCTAGACTTCGAAGATCTTGACTCAAAGGGCTGGATGATCTGTTTGCGAGAACGATGTTCTGCTCGTCCTCTTTGTCTTCTTCGTCCTTTATGTCCATCGTGACCCTGCATTTTTTTTTTTTTAATAATTTAATAAAATAATCATTTTCAATAATAGACGTAATAATAATTTAAAGAAATAATAGAATAACACATTCATGGAATAATTTACAAAAACAGAGAAATTGTATCTTCGAAGTATTTTGAAAAATAAACACACGTTTACTTCAAGATAAAAGCGAGGATAAATGGCGCAAGAAATTAAAACACTCTGCACGAGGTGAAAAAATGTCAAATAAATAACGACGACATTTGAATTATACAATACAATCGTAAAACTGAACAGTTTAAAAACGTTACATACAACTTCTACCGTTAAATTGTGCAATGAAGTAAATGAATATTTTTCATTATTTATTATTTTAATTGTGTAACATTAGTGTATATCACCGAGAGCATCGCCTAAATTAAAGATTAAAGCATCGATGTCTCCCACAGGACCTATAACATAGATTGTATAAAACGCCTCCCAAAACGTAGCGTTCGAAAACATATCGCACGCTTGTGAAATTGAAGTAATTAAAATAGCAGTACAGCAAAGTGGCATTGTGTGTCAACGGCGATAAGAAAACGACCCGATAATGTTTCAGCAAACGCACACCTGACGAACCTCTAAGTTCAACCGCGATAAAACGTTGCTTCTCATCCGGATCGCGAAATAATTTCACTTACGTCTGAGTCATCAGATTTTCATCTTCGATCGTGGTAGTCGAATAGATTGTTCGATCGTCGTTTTCATTCGTACAAACGCGAATAGCCGTTACATTTTCCCCGTCGATCGTGTCGCTTGTATCGTTGACGCTGGACGATCGTTCCTCTTCCGGTTCCTCTTCGACTATCTCGAACTCGCGGACAAGATTTTGCTTGACTTTGGCGAAATCGTTCCTCGAGGCGAAAGGATCGAAACTTTCTCGATCCTGGGACGCCATGTGCCCCCAGAACACTTTGCTCTGATGTCTCTTGAACGCGCTCATCTTCTCTTCTGTTCGCTTTCCTCGACCAACTTTCGCGACGATTTCAAGTTCGTTGAACGAAGTCTTGAGTATGGAACTCGTTAAAGTGTGGAGAATTGTGCTCAAGCAATTTTGTTTTTTTTTTTTAAGAAGAAGAAGTTCCTTGATAGGGTTCGTAACGACGAAGATGAACAGCGGAACAATGCTAATGCACACTAGGGCGGTTTCACGATTCAGCAGAGCGGAACGACCCTCCCACAGGTCGCGTGCCCGGAGGACCGTATGGTGTCCGCCGCAACCCCCATGGAGAATCCGATCGCTCCTTCCGATGACACCAGAAACATTCCTTTTTCACTTCTCTTCGATCGTCTTCTTTCTTACTCAACAGTTTCTTCTTAAAACACACCTAAAAATAGTAACTTTTAACTGATCGTTTTTAAATAATTAAACAATTTTTTTTTAACATCTAATTAAAGTGTTTCTTTATCGTAATTTACTGTTATTATTAATTGAACATTGTTATATTTTATTAAGTTCACGTCGAGCAATTTGTTACGGATAAAATGATTATTGCGTGATCGAAGAGATTTCGATGATCTATCGATAATGCACTCGGAGATCGATCGATCTAAACGTATTGGTGCTTCGCGAGCGACTGACTCGGATCGGGTCGCTTCCGACTTCCTCCCATAAGTCGCGCTCCCTCCCCGCCCCGAGCCTGTAAGCCAACTCGTATGAAAATAGAGCTCCTCCCCTTCTCTTTTGTCACGTCCACGGGGTGCATACCTCTATCCAGTACGTGTACCCCCGTGTGCCCCGGCATATGTGACCCATGTGTAACCGCCAAAGCGTAACTAGGTGCATTCTTCTCGTCAGGGATGCAGTGGCGTGAACAGGAAGTCCGTTCGATTAGTTTGTCCATATGTAGTGCGATAATATACGTATGCATTTTGATTTCTGCAAAAAGTTCAGGGTTAGTTTTAATCTCGTGCCTGTACCGAAAGGTTCAACTTAAATTTAAGGTTAGAACAGTTAACCTACAATTACTTAAACGGGCGAATAAGAGAGAATTGAAATAATGTACAAGAATTTTTGTTCATTCCAGAATCTCTAGTATTTTGTTCCGGTCAACGATGAAGAAATTACAATATCGAACAGTATTGCATTAAATACATTGTTCTTTTCATATTGCCTTTATGTGTTCATCATATTTCGTATATACACACATTTTCATTCATTCACAGTCATTCTATACACAATGTTTACTACATGTTTATAAGAAATTGATTAAGTCAATGTAACTGTTTTAACTCGATAAATTACTAGGAGAAATGTGAACAATTCATTTTACATATATTGTGAATTTATCCTTAAAGAAAATTGCAAATAAACGTCGTACAAACAGAATATCATAAAAGCTAAGATACAAGTGTAATAATACAATAACAGAAGTAACGATAAGGTTAACGAAAGTAAAAGTACAAGCAGCAGAATGTAAAATTGTAAAAACAAAATGAAGAAAATTAAAAACAATAGAAGATCTGTTAACGAAAGTAGAAGCATCCTAACTAATTACAACTGTACAAGTTATTTTTTAAGAATAATAATTACAACGAGATCGTTCGTCAAATGTTCAAGACGATCGAAGATCGCGTGGATGCACGAACGACGTCACAAAATCACGCCAATGCTATTTTTAAGGGCCAGGTGTGACTCCCGACTCCCTATCGCTCTTATGTGTATGTATGTACACGCGGGGGTCGAGTTCCCCCCCTGGTGAAAACAGGCCGAAGAGGCACTTCCACCACCACCGGATCCAGGGGCACGCGCCGCTCCGACATCTGCGTGAAATGCTTCCAGCGATGAGTATTCAGTCTGTATGTACGTGCGTGTGTGTGGATGATTCACTTAACCATGTTCTTTTCACAATTTTAATCGCTGATTCAGTTCGATCGATTGATCTTGCCAATTCACTCATCTTAAATTCGATCGTAACAATGTGATAGCCATTGTTCCATTATGAAGGATTAGTTATCTTTTATATATTACTCCACGACGCCAGTACGTATGTATGAGGGTGTACTGAAAATTTGTTGAAAAACAATAATTTAATTTATGCAACACATTAGTTAATAAATCCTCTTTTCGATATTAAATACCTTACGTGGTTACACAGTATGCAGAGGGACATTTAAATCACTTTGGTAGATACTAGTCTGTGGTTACGGTTTAAATTGCTTGAACAAAGGTTACTAGCAGGGCGGCACGTTTCATCCTCGATCTTCCTTTCAGTGGTCATTTCGCAGATAGATGACTTCACCCGTTGGAATTTTATTAGTAATGAATTCTCCTGAACAGGAAATCTTCAGATGTAGGAGGCTCACGAACGCAGCCATAAGTTTCCCGTAACGTTGCATTAGTCGGAAGGTCGCCTAATATCGTCGATCATGTTGCAAAGTCGATTACGAAAATATACTTTTACCGATCGCGTGTGCAATATCAAGTTTCATCGGCGACTCGTGGAAAGTAAGATTGCACGACTGTGTCTGAGCGAAAGAAAGCGCATCTGCGACTACTAATTTACATGTGCAGCACCCGTACATTGATACACGCGCATTATGTGTACGCGAGTATGTATAGCGCGAGCAAAATGATCGAATATACTGAAGACGTCGGAATTCAGCGAAATGCCAAGGCTAATTTCGCGCGTAAACTTGTTATTGCGCGCGCATCTTCGTAGACGTCTACTTAATGAGAGAAAAATGAAGAACAGTCGCGCAGATGCCTTCAGAGTGTTGAAGAGACGATAATCGATACGTGTCGGTGTGTTTGTTCATTATTGATAATCCAACTGTTCTGTGCCATAACGACCGGTGTCTCATGGCATTGTCTCGAAACACACCATACGCACAGAAACGTCTGCAGCTATTCGTCGCACAAAAGCGTCAAAGGGTCCGTACGACCCCTATTGTATGTCGAGATCCGTATGAAATGGGGGACAGCTGGGTGTAGACCGTTATTTAAAGGTGCGCGTGAGCGTGCGCGCTACCAGGCACGCGTTCACTCAGATTGATCAGTGAAATTTAAATTTCCGAAAAGAGACTCTCGGAAGCTTTCATGTGACACACATATCGTGTGTATCGATTACTGTATGTAATTGTATAAATGTAAATGAATTTTTATTTTTCTGTTAATGTTCTAATTATATTGTATATGATGAAATTTTAGTTAATATACTCATCATTTACAGTAAAGATTTATGAAATATTAGCAACGAGAAAATAGAACTTATATTTGTAATTGTGCAATAAAAATATTTTTAAAAATATATTTATTTTATTTGATATTGACAAACTTTTATAATGTGGTGTATGTTCCAGTCAATTTAATGTCCGGTAATTTGATATTCGTGTACGGGGAAGATGAGAGGAAATATCAATTATAACACAAAGTACTCTTAATAACACTGTGTGCATTCACACTTATGAGAGATTCTTTGGACTATTAGTAAAATACAAATGCTATTTTACCTAATATATATAATTTGAAATATTTTCAATAATAGTCATTTCTACTTAACAATATAGCATAATTGTATGTAATTAAAATTATACGTATTATTGCATATATATTTCAATTGTTAGAAGAGGCAGATCTATTATACCAATTAGCATCGCAGTATCCTTTACAAACCTTAAAAGGAATTAAATTGGGAATCGGATCGGCTCTTCAAGTATGGTGCGCCATCTACATATACACCTTATAACAGAAGGTTCTCGGTGTTTTCTACTGAATTTGACGATGAGTGGCACTTTCCGTTCTCCGCTAACTTTAAACTGTTTTTTGATTGGTGCAAATTAATCTGAATCCTCTATAGTAACCAATCAGAGATAACTAAAAACGGAAAACGCTAAGAAGGTATATGTTGGCGTTTTAAGTGACGGCGCCATCTGCAGATCGACAATTTCTTGTAATTGTGGTTTGCTGTGAGATTGAACAAACGTTATTCGATAATAAATTGTGATCTGTTGTTCTAGCAGTGATTCAAAATGGTAATTAATTGATTTTATATACATAGTGTCCTCCGTAAAGTGATATTATTGTAATATCGTCAGAAATCGAAGTAGTAATGGATTAACTTTATTGCCCGGTTTCATGTACGAAGGTGTGACAAATGGCGCACGTGTGTCAATAGATAGATATTTTTATTATTAATGTAATGTTAACGTTTTAGAATAGAAAATAATGTTTTGAAAATCTATTACCACACTTAGACAAATTCTTTAACGTGCAAACTTTTTATATTTTAGTAACTGCACTGAATTAACATTTTAAGTTACTTTTTATGTTATTAAATAATAAATTATATTAGAAAAGCAATAATAAATGTGCAATAAAAATGAAATAAATTGTATTGTATGGTCCAATTAATATGTACAGATAATTTTTATTGCTAGTGATCAATGTTGATCATAGAAAATTCCAACTAATGTTTGCAGGTATCCTTGAATCCTGTGAGGATCCTCAAGAATGAGGCAGAGGAAGAGAAAGCAGAAATTGCCAGGTTAAGTTTGTTTGTAGGAGCAATAGCCATTGGTGATTTAGTAAAATCTACACTTGGCCCAAAGGGTATGGACAAAGTATTGGTAGCTCATGGTAGATCTGCAGGGCAAGTTCAGGTTACCAATGATGGAGCAACTATTTTGAAAAATGTTGGTGTGGACAATCCTGCTGCTAAAATCTTGGTAGATATGTCCCGTGTGCAAGATGATGAAGTTGGAGATGGTACTACTTCTGTAACTGTTCTTGGTTTGTATACAATTTCTTTAACTTATACAATTTAATAGAGTTTCTCTACATAATTAATCATTTTTAAACATTTAAATTAATCTTTCATTGTTTTAGCTGCTGAGTTACTAAGGGAAGCAGAGAAATTGATTGATCAAAAAATCCATCCACAAACCATAATTACTGGTTGGAGGAAAGCAACTAATGTAGCAAGGGAGGCTTTGAAAAATTCTACAAGTGATAATTCTGCAGATGCTGAACTTTTCCGCGAAGATTTACTAAATATTGCCCGTACAACTTTAAGCTCAAAAATTTTATCTCAGCATAAAGAACACTTTACTAAGCTTGCAGTAGATGCTGTATTACGTCTTAAAGGATCTGGTAATTTATCGGCTATTCAAGTAATTAAAAAACGTGGAGGAACTTTGGCTGATTCCTTCCTTGATGATGGATTCTTGTTGGATAAAAAACCTGGAGTACACCAACCGCAAAGAGTAACAGATGCGCGCATACTTATAGCTAATACTCCTATGGATACAGATAAAATCAAGGTATAAAAATATAGATATATAATATGTTGTAGTCCAACCTCAATGCTTACATGTTGATTATTTTACAGGTATTTGGTTCTAGAGTTAGAGTTGATTCTATGGCGAAAATTGCAGAATTAGAAGCAGCAGAGAAAGAAAAAATGAAGGTAATACTAACTATATTACCATTAAGGAGGACATTTACATTTAATTATATTTAATCATAATATATCATGTAATTATGTTCAATTTAGGACAAAGTTGACAAGATCATAAAACATGGCTGCACCGTTTTTATCAATAGACAGTTGATTTATAATTACCCAGAACAACTGTTTGCTGATGCTAACATTATGGCCATTGAACATGCCGACTTCGATGGTATTGAACGACTAGCATTAGTTACTGGTGGAGAAATAGTTAGTACTTTTGATAATCCTGAATTGGTGAAACTTGGCAAATGCAATCTCATTGAACAGGTATGTTTCCGAATATAATTAAAACTATAGCATATTATTAAAAATTTGTTCATTTTTCTTAGGTAATGATAGGTGAAGATACATTGTTGAAATTTTCGGGAGTTCCTCTGGGAGAAGCTTGTACCGTCATTATTAGGGGCGCTACTCAGCAAATTATTGATGAAGCTGAACGATCTTTGCACGATGCTCTTTGCGTATTGTCAGCTACTGTGCGCGAATCCAGAATCGTTTATGGCGGAGGATGTAGCGAGATGACTATGGCTTGTGCGGTAATGAGATCAGCGGCTTCCACTCCTGGCAAAGAAGCAGTTGCAATGGAATCTTTCGCTCGAGCATTACAGCAGTTACCTACTGTTATTGCCGATAATGCTGGGTACGATTCAGCGCAACTGGTTAGCGAGTTAAGAGCTGCGCATAATTCTGGCGCGAATACGATGGGTCTCGGTATGTTTATTCATAATAAATCTTACACTTATTAATTATTTTTCTAATATCAATAACGAATAGTGAGTTATTCCTGTTTTTGTCATAACAGATATGGAGCAAGGAAAGATTGGTTGCATGAAACAATTAGGAGTAACTGAATCTTGGGCTGTGAAGAGGCAAGTTTTACTTAGCGCAGCGGAAGCAGCAGAAATGATTTTACGCGTGGATAATATCTTACGGGCGGCGCCCAGAAAACGCGTCAAGGATCGTGGACGTT